CAGAAGTGGGGAATACTGAGAAGCCTGCGTATGTCAAAGATCTTCTCGATATTTTGGTGACTGAAAATGATCCAGACACTGGATGCCCCTTTAGTGATGAAATGGTATAATCTTTAATATATATATATATATATTCTTTTTTATGATAAAGACAATGAACAATAATAGACTATTAAAAATAGATAAGAAGTATTATGAGCGTATATTTGACGGCTGGATACCATACTACTGGTGTCGCAATTCCTTTTACTTTATTCGCTTTAACACAGAATCCAGAAGCTAAAGCAAAGCTTCAAGAGGAAATCGATGAAGTATTACAAGATCGTTTACCAACACTCGAAGGTATGAATTACCATAATAAATTTTATATCTCTAGCAAAGTTAAATTGATTAAACTACTCATAATTTATTATTTAACAAAAGACTTATCCAAGATGGAATATTTAACACAAGTGATAAAAGAAGCTCTTCGAGTTCATCCGCCAGGTACTTTTTGTGCCCGTTTAATCAAAACAGGTTCTATACTTTCCAAAGCAGTGGAAAATTTCCAAGCGCAGGCAGACAACACCACGATCCTATATTGTATCCCATTGTATCACGAGAATCCTTCATATTTTGCTAACCCCAAAAAATTTGACCCATCTCGATTTTCACGAGAAAATATGAAGAATATTAAACCGAACACATATTGTCCATTTGGATTTGGAGCTCGAATATGTAATTAAATATTGTATCAATTTGTTCTTACCTTGTATAGTGTTTCGCAAATCCAGTATATTTAAACACGGATTCGAATCCATACTTGGACCCGATTCCAATTTCCGGATCGGATCCAGACCTTTAAAAATATCCGTCCGATCCGATCCGTGCGGAACACTATTCTTATGAGATGATATTTTGAAACTTATTATTTATGTCTTTTTTTTTTTTATATAAAAAAAAAAAAAAAGGCCCAGCAGAGAGACTCGCAATGGTTGATATTAAACTAATGGTCTGTATGATTATGCAAAAGTTTGATTTCGAATTGGCTATGAAAGTGGAAGATGTGCAAATGGAAGAAAGGTTTGTCGTCATGGCTAAAAATGATATTTTGATAAAACTTAAACCAAGAAGTGGTATAAATGCCTAGAAGAAAGATATGATTAATGCTATTAGTATTATAAAATCCGACAAAACCGAATTCATTTATTCATATAGCGTAAGTTTTGTTGATGTAAATCTATAAATGGTTATTCATTATATTTTCCTTCAAATGATTGATGGATGTTATATACGCGTTAAACATGTACAAAAACTTATTCTTAGCATTAGCGAGATAATAGTGTAAATGAAATTTACAATCGTTACTAGTTATCATACATTATATAGAGAAGATGCATGAAGTAACGGATTTTTAATCACCTCATGACGTAAATCGAATTCTACCATCCTTTCGTAACAGAATCTGCATTTTGAACAGCTCCTAATGGATCATCCTTCCAAAATACAAAATGTCCTTGCAACTGGGCAGTACTAATTCCTTTTCCCCTAACTTTCTCCACGAATTTTTCGGCCAATTCAGTTTTATTCTCATAAAATCTCAAAAACATCGTACGTATCTGATGGTCACTTGCCACATCCAAAAGTTCTTTAAAATCAACTCTACCCGGACGTATCAGCGCCGGTTGAAGTCGATCCACGTAATTTGTTGTCATGAATATTATGCGTTCTTCGGAGGCCGCAACGCCGTCTAGCGCGTTTAGCAGGCCACTGAATGTCACCGATGAACCATAACTAATTAAGATACAAATTTTCAATCTTAATACTATGTACCACATTTAGAGGTATGCCATTGGTTGCTTAATATTTTTTAAATAATCCATATATGCAAAGTTGGCAACTTTTTTATCCATTGAGAAAAAAAGGAGTTTACTAATTCCCCCACCACTTCCGATTGGTTCTACTAATTATTCACATATCGGAGTATCTGTGCTATTAATCAATTTTATAGTACTCTGATAGTGAAGTGGTGGGGAAAAAATAGTAAACCCGAAAAAGGCAATCGAAGTCCGAATGGACCTCAATGATAAGTATCCATTGAGGTTCTCCATTGAGTCAGTTGCCAATTCGGCATGTATGGTAATGATCTATCCGATCTAAATTATTATTTGTCAGTCTAATTGGTTGTGAACCATGATTATAAGCATAAATGGCATTACCCTTAACGGTTATTATAATAAGAACTTTACCCCTGTGTTTCACGCTTTTGCGTAAAAGCAGCATCAATGTCTTCCAATAACATTATGCTACGTTCTGGAGCATTACTTAGCAGATGGTTTAATCGATCATCGGTTAAACCAATCTCACTTAAATTTAAAATGCATATGTTATATTCTAATTCACCAGCGAGTGCCTGTATAAAACTACTTTTACCACTTCCCGGAGGACCATATAACAAATATCCTCTGCGATACGGTATTCCTTGTTTTAAGTTTTCAAAAGCGTTAAGAATCTTTTTGGTAATGAAAATTGCGAGTAAATTTTTTTGTAGTTACCTCGCTCGTTATACCAATTACCATTATTAATAAAATCTTTAACATCTTTGACAATGCGTTCTTTAACACCTTGATCTAATATAACGGAATCCAACAATCTCCGTTTTCGTGGTAATCCAAAAGGTCTCCATTCTGGACCCCAGCTTGTGTAAATCACCGTTTTGCCTTCTTGTTGAGCAAGGGCGAGTTCCTGGGCTTCACGTAATAAATCCGTGAAAATATGACGATCACGACTTATGGTTGTGAGAGTCACTGTTTCCCAGGGACTTCCCGTTGTTATATCCAACATTTTATTATCTCGAACACGTTCAACCTGTTTATTTATTTACATGGATTCCAAACGAACGGATTTGAAATGCATGCAAAGCTGAAATTTAGATTTAATCAATCTTGTTTACATGAATTGCAGCGTATTTGATAATAAAGTTAATGCAGCTTTGGATACATTTCAAATTCGTTCAATGGAAGGCATTTCATTAATATTCCACAAAAATTAAAAGCAAAAAAAAAAAATCGAAAATCGAAACAATAAATGAAAAAATAAATAATTTCTATTTAATAAAAAAATAAACAATGGCTTACCTGCAACCATACACCCTTCCACTTAAAAAAATGTCTTCCTGGACCCGGAACAAGTTTAAAATTTGCACTCACACTACCATTATCATGTTGTACAAAAGAAGTCTCTACAGCAAGTTGATGTGCCTTTCTTATCGACTGTTTAGACATCCAATGTAAAAACCAAGCATACGACTTATCTTTCGAGGGAATTTCCAATGTGACTAGTAACTGGCGACGAGCTATGGTCATTCCACGAGTTAATCCCTGACGAAGGATAGCTAAACCAGCGCCCACTCCCAGTACACCAACACCGGCAGAAAAGTAGGGGTTTGAGGAAAGAAACGTGCCTAGAAGAGGAGAGTCGGGCATGTTTTTATTGAAATTGAAGCAAAAATTTAATTAGATTTTGATTATCGATTTCTTAAAAATTTCTGACCAATGAAAATCTGTTTTTACTGTATTACTGTATTACGTATCAATACAGCAATGCTGTATATATCTTATATGCATATTATCTTTTATCTATTATCGTTATTATATAAAGATCACCATATATATATTAGGCGAATCAATAAAGATAACAAATTATTTCAATTTATACGTATACGTAATCATTCGAGAGAAAAAACAAGATCATAAATAAACAATAATGCGATTAACAATACCTTAACTTACATCACGCATTAACAATATCAAATATCTAATTAGGTTGTACATACATATTGGCAAGCTTAAGGTTGCCCCAATATTTTTTTTTTTTACGTTAAACAGGAATTTTATAACCTCCAAATGGAAAAGTGGACAAAAAAAAAGTCCAAAGAATTACCGATGATTCTATTTATTGACCAAATTATTGAGAGTTCTGAAGATCTCTTTACGCAATGGGTACACCTTTTCCATATACGAACCATTGGTAGTTTTCGAAGGGTTCCATAAATGTATATATATATTTGGAAGGTGTCACATTTAAATATATATATTAGCAATTAGCCATTGTTTTTTTTTTCTGTCCCCCCTTTCTCCGCTTCGTTTACAATATAGGGATAAATCACAAATTCATTAATTTTCAGTACATAATTATTATTGGTGTGTGGAAACAAACCACCTTTGTTTCTACCGTTGTTCGTTTCAACTTTTCTTTATTATTCTCTTAAACGGTTTATATAATAGCCTTGTACAAGCACCCCGGAAAAAGTCGAAGCCATGCTTACCGTTACTCACATAACTTATGCTGTTTTAATTACTTTGTTCATTCATACTTTAATTATTCGTCTTACGGTAGCTTCCTTTTCCGAAAAAATCCACTATTTTATCCCATTTTTTCAGTAATTGCTTCGCCAAATAAAGAAATTAATTAATTTATAAAGTTAATCCATCATCTTTGGTTTTCTATGTCAAATATTGATTCAGACTCTATACATTCCATCGATTTCCCTCCACCCGTCCCACCAAAGGATGATATTCGTCCTATGGTCCCACCAAAAGATTTTCCAAGAACTTTCATCTCAATCATTGATCCTTCTAGCTCTAGCGATTTGAATTCTAACGAAACTCCCTCAGCACCAAAGGCAACTGCTACAATGAATAACAAAAGATTTTCATTTCCTGCTTTAGGTTCACTGTTTACTAACAGAGCAACAACTACAGACAATGATGTCCCTCGGATATCTTCTCGCCCTGATAGTATGTTTTCAAAAATTTCATCATGGTGGTCAAATTTGAGTAGACTGAAACCAAGAAATACTGCAAATGTTGCTCCGATAACGATACCTTCAACATCATCTTCGGCCACATCGTTAATAGCTCCTCATATAACGAATGATGTAGATAATATTCAGTCTCCAAAAGCTAAAAAACCGAAGAACATAACCGATTTGTTTCGGAGGATGAGTTATAAAAAGAAAGCAAGAAATAATAATAGTAATAATAATAATGTTAATAATAATAATAATAATAATAATAATGTTAATGGATCAACTGCGACTATGGTAGATGAACATTTAATTCCTGAATTCTCAATACCGTCCAGAAGTCAATCCATTAAAAGGACTAGTTTTGGAACCTTTATAGAAAAATTAAACCGTAAATTTTCTTTTAATTCTGGATCTCGGTCAACCAGATCGTCTAAAAATCAGTCGATATCATCTCGAACTAATCCATCAAAAACTGATTGGTCCTCTTCTGCTTCTACTTATCATAATGGAGATGTTACAAAAGCTGATGGTAAGCAAAAACAAAAGATGATAGTTGACGGTCATGATCTTACAGCCTCAACTCAAACCTTATGCCCTGATGGATCTTCAATTTCAACAACTCATTCAACTGCAGCTGAATCTCATAACAATGAAGATGAGAATAATGAAGATATATCAGCAGAAGTTTTGGCTCCTTTAAGATATAATTCGTCAGATGATACGATAAAAGGTGCCTCAGGAACAAGCCGTCATAGTCGATTACTTGATATTTTCACTCCTAAAAGCTCTTCTCAACGTGGTTCAACCTCTTCTCGTGTAAGTCGTGGAAGTGTTGTTCATACAACAAATGGTGTTCCCAATCGTCATATCAGGATCAATTCAACTATTATAAAAGATCCAACAAGCTTAGATGACACACAACGAGAGAGTTATGAGAATCGACTTTCTTCACAAATAAGCCCAAATGCTGAGATTCCATATTATACAATTGATACTGAAGGAGAGGATAGCATATCCGGTAATGATACAACAACAGAAGGACAAACTATGTCACCATTGCGCCTTTTTAAGAAGAAATTCTACCAAAATTTCCTATCCTCCAATAATCAAGAGATGAATTCAAAAAATAAGGTCGAGTCCACATCAGCGATAGTCGATCGTGGAAATGGTCAGATTTCTATTAATTCTAACAATGTTATTAATGCTAATAATGTTGAGAATTCATTGCAACCTGATGAAGATGATTCCGATGATGAATCTGATGATAATAATGACATTAATGATGAACTTGATGATTTAACTCTTGATGATGGTGTTGAGGGTGATGCTTCTACCACTCAATCACAAGTACCTAGTTCTAGTCATGATACTACATCTAATAAAAAACCATTTTCTCGTAAATTGTGGTTTGCAAAATCTTATGATTCTGAAGATCCATCGGCTTTTCAAACCCGTCCTGATTCTCTTGTTGCCAATATTAAAGTGACAATTCCCTTAAAATATGCGAGGGATGCTTTTTCCAATCCCCAATTAATAGATAACAAAGGCCCTGCTATATTAAGTAATTGCCGAATAGCATTTATTCCAATTAATTTCTTTGACGGACTTCATAATATTAAAGAACTTTTTCTTGATCAAAATTCCCTGAGAGGTCTATCTGAAGAAATTTTAAAACTTACCAAATTAGAAATATTAGATCTAAGCAATAATTGTATTTCACAATTTAACCCAAGATTAAAATTTAAAAAGATGAAAAATTTACGCCGTATAAATTTGGACAATAATGTACTATCTGATATAACGAACATATGTAAAATTAAGACTTTAAGAGAATTAAGAGCTAATAATAATTTCTTAGGGACATTAACAATGGACATTTCAAAATTAACAAAGTTACGATTATTATATTTAGACAATAATCAACTTGAAAACCTACCTGATTCAGTCGGTCGATTAAAGTCCTTATGTGTGTTACGCCTAAACAACAATAATATTGAAAGATTACCATCATCGGTGTGTTCATTGCGTCAATTAAAAGTTCTGGAACTGAAGTCAAATTTATTAACACAATTACCAGAAAACATCAAGGAATTGGAAAGTTTAGCCAAACTTGATGTTTCCAACAATCGACTCACTTCACTCCCGAATGACATTGTAAAATGTAGTAAATTAACTCATTTGAACGCATCTAATAATAAGCTTGAATCTATACCACCTAAATTTGGACAACTTTATCGACTGATTACTCTTAATCTTCGTCAAAATCAAATCAATAATCTTCCAGTTGACTTTGGCAAGCTTACAAATTTATCAGATTTGGATTTGTCTTATAATGAATTGGTCGTATTACCAGAAGGTTTAGGAAACCTTAAGAAGCTTACCGAAATTAAAGTCAACAATAATCCATCATTATTGGCAATTCCAGACACATTACAGAAATTAACACAAATAAAAAAGATTTATTTACAACATTGTAATCTAAGCTCACTTCCATTTATAATGGGAGAAACATATAATCAACTTAAATATGTTAACATATCTTATAATTTATTCGATAATATCCCTAACCTACAAGGAATGAACAATGTCACTGTATTTAACATTTCAAATAATCGAATAGTTGATTTGACAGAAAAAATAGATCAATTAGAATCTTTATGCGAATTGTACGTTATGAACAACAAACTAACACAAATACCAAAATCAATTGGTAATCTAAAAAATTTAGAAATATTGGATGTTTCTGAGAACTTGCTCGTTGAGTTACCATTATCAATTGGTGATTGTCAAAACTTAAGAGAACTTAAATTACGAGGTAATTCATTAGAGAAATTACCAGCAACTTTAAGACATTTGACAAATTTGGATATATTCCATATTGGACAATGGCCAACAACCGAATTCAAAGTAATACATGATGAAACTCAACAAGAAAATTTGAAATTGAGTCCGTATCAAGCCAATATTCCACAAGACGTTGAACGTACATTATTATGGAGAATGCATGATTCAATATTAAAACGATTAAGAGAAATTGATTCCAGTGATGGGACTTCCGTAAAATCTTTAAAGAGTTCAAATGAAAGTAATGCTTCACAATATGGTGGAACTCATTTATTAACACCAGATCTTTCACCGAGTTCTTCATCGTCGAGGGATGATGTAATATTAAAAATGACGGTTTTGAAAGGAGTTTATGATCAAATTATGAAAGACATGCGTTACCATGATAAAGAGACAAGTAATGATGATATAACCGAACCTTCAGATAGTGTGAGGAAAAAATTTCCAAAATTTAAAGATTTTAAATTTTTAAAAATTGGTGATAACAAGTAAAAATTTTATTATTTGTCAAAATCATGTTTTCCTCTTCAAAATCGTCTTTTTAATATATTATATTTATATATACATATATATATTTGCATTAACGCATACATTATTTTTTGTATATAGGAAAAATATTTATGATTTTTAAAAATAGTCTTTAGTAACGACATTTTGTACATTATTTTCATTTCCAAGCATACTTCAAATTTGTCTTTACATTATATTTGTAAAATATAGACCAATTATCATATATTTTAAAGTACGGCTTTTTCCATCAAACAACGGAAACAATTAGATAAGAGTTTTTTTTAAAAATTTATAATTGTTTCTAGATTGATGTATTTTTATTAAATAAAACATTAAGACTTTACCAAACAAAGGCTACTATTTATGTCACTATTAATAAATCTGCAGCTTTCATACTTGTCTTTGCCAAATCAGTTTGTTACCTAAAAAAGTGTTTTACAGAAAAGGTTTCTTTTATACGTAGTATAAATGATCTTTATGTGTTATAATAATGGCGTGATTTGATTGGCCATTTATTTACTGCGGTATAAAAAATAATTTTGGATTTGGCTAGAAAGCATCGGTTCAGCTAGTTCTGTAATTATAAAACGCGAATAAAATTTAGACCTTAGCAATAATACATATGTGCACATATATATGTTAAAGTTAAATAATTATATACAATGCCAAGAGAATTAATTACAATTCAAACAGGACAATGTGGAAATCAAAGTATGTAAGGACGGAATACTCGAAGACTTTGCGACAGAGGGGGGTGATCGAAAAGACGTGTTCTTTTATCAGGTTACAACCGGTTTAAAATAAATGTTATTTCTGGCCTTTCGTTATAAAAACATTCGACTTTAATTACCAATTTCTATTAATTTTGGATAGGCTGACGACGAACATTGCGCTATTATTAGACCTTGAACCTAGAGTATTATTATTATAATGAAATTGAGTTTTGTATAAAATTCAAATATGCACAATTTAATAACAAACGGTTGCTTAGGTTATCAATAATATCTTGGCTTCTCCATATTCAAATCTATATAATCCCG